AAATATAATAAAGGCCATCTATGACAAACCAACAGCCAGTATCATACTAAATGGCCAAAAATTGAAGGCCTTTTCTTTAAAATCAGGCTTAAGACAAGGATGTCCCTTATCACCACTCCTATTTAATATAATACTGGAAATACTAGCCAGAGCAATTAGACAAAAGAGAGAAATAAAAGGCGTAAAGATAGGAAAAGAAATTAAATTATCATTATTTGAAGATGACATGATACTCTACATAGAAGACCCCCAAAACTCCATTGAAAGACTCCTAGATATAGTAAATAAATTTAGCAATGTGGCTGGACACAAAATCAATATTCAAAAATCAATAGCATTCCTATACACTAACAACAAAATCACAGAGAGAAATAAGAGAAGCTACACCCTTCACACTAGCAACCAAAAAAATGAAATATTTAGGAATTACTCTCACGAAAGAAATGAAAGACCTATACAGGGAAAATTATAATACATTGAAAAATGAAATTGAAGATATCTCAGAAAATGGAAAGACCTCGCTTGCTCATGGATAGGAAGAATAAATATTGTGAAAATGGCCATTCTCCCAAAACTGTTATACAGATTCAGTGCATTCCTGATAAAAATACCTCATAGATCAACATACCTCTTAGATCTCGAGAAATCACTCTTAAAATTCATCTGAAGTGAGAAGAGACCTAGAATAGCAAGGACAGTTCTAAGCAGCAAAGGCAAGGCAGGAGGTATCACAATCCCTGACTTGAAGTTATACTACAAAGCAGCCGTAGTAAAATCAACATGGTACTGGAACCAAAACAGAGCTGAAGATCAGTGGAATAGATTAGAAGATACAACCACAACTACAGACACACTCAACCACCTTATCTTTGATAAAGGGGCCAAACATGTTCTCTGGAAGAATGACAGTCTCTTTAATAAATGGTGTTGGAAAAACTGGCTCTCCATATGCCAAAAACTAAAACTAGATCCATGCATATCACCATGTACTAAAATAAAATCTAAATATTAAAACAGAAACACTAAATCTATTGGAAGACAAATTGGGTAAAAACCTTGAAGACATAGGAGTAGATAGAGAATTCATGAACAGGACTCAAACCGCACGGGAAATATTTCCAATCACCTCTTATTAAAAAGTTTCTGCACAAGAAAGGAAATCTCCAGCATAGTGAAAAGAAAACCAACAAACTGGGAAAAAATCTTAGTGAACTGCCCCTCAGACAAAGGATTTCTGTCTAAAATATATAAAGAATTAAAAAAAATCAGACCCCCAAAATTCAAAGACCCAATCCAAAAATGGGCATCTGAGATGAATACACAATTCTCAGATGAAGAAATGCAAACGACAAATACATGAAAAAATGTTCATCATCATTAGTCATTAGAGAAATGCAAATTAAAACCACACTGAGATTTCATCTCACTCCTGAAAGAATGGCCAAGATCAAGAAAACCACCAACAACAAATGCTGGAGAGGCTGTGGGGAAAAAGGAACTCTCCTGCACTGTTGGTGGGAGTGTAGACTGGTGCATCCATTGTGGAGGTCAGTCTGGAGATTTTTCAGAAAGCTGGGATTAGAAGCCCCATTTGACCTAGCTATTCCACTTCTAGGCATATTCCCAGAAGAACTGAAAACCTCATACCACAGTGATATATGTGCACCCATGTTTATAGCAGCACAATTTGTAATAGCCAGATCTTGGAAACAACCTAAGTGTCCATCAACTGAGGAATGGATAAAAGTTGTAGTATTTTTATACAATGGAGTACTACTCACTATAAAGAATGATCACATTGAGATATTTATAAATAAATGGACGCAGCTTGAGACCATACTCATAAGTGAAATAAATCAAACTGACATGTATGAATACCAGATAGTTTCCCTAGTGTAAGAAATGGTAAGAATATACATAAAAGTAGGTGGTAATGATGATTCCCAATGATATTGGTTTGAAACCATATAAAGTTTTCACTCATTAATTGGAATGGTTTTAATCTAGATTGTTCAATTTTATTGTCTGTGATAGTACGAATAGCTATTTTGAAGAAAACAAGACATCATAATAGCTAGTGCTGATTTAATATCATCTTGTTTTTTAAGTCCCATCAGGCTATTGTTCATCTGGTTCCATTGGTTCTAACATGTTGTATCTTATTATATTTTACTGTATGCGATAGTATTAAACAAAAATTTTTATAGGCAAAGAGATAATAGAGAAAACGTTGTTCGTTTTCTGTTAGCTGGTTCTAAATACCCTGTAATTCTTTCATTCTCTTGAATAGCTTCACACTGTCTTGATATGTTTGATGCTATAATATACGAAGTTATACTCAAATATTTCAAGGAAGGAGACACTATGGTGACTACTATTATGTCAGGTTATCTGGTGGTGAAACACAATGATGCTTAAGTTGTTCAGTTGTGACCTGTGTTGTTCTGTTACTGTGTCCTCCTTATCTCAATCTCCCCCTTTTTAAAAAAAATATTTTTTCTTATTTTTTTTAATTAAGGCAAAACTAAATTAAAAATAGCGGGATATATTATAGTAACTTTTTTGTTTTCCTGTTAACCTGATTTGAACCCCTGTATTGCTCTCCCCATCTTGTTCTGACTGATTTTACTATATTCTGTTTTGTTTGATAGTATCAAGTTTGAGGGTATAGGCAACCACTTTGAAGGCAATAAGATTTACTATGATGCCCATTATGGTTTGACTATTATCTTCTTTTGAAGTTCTGTAAGGTCTCCAATGTAGGTTTTATTGGTCTTGTTCTGTACTGTTTGGTTCAATTCTATTATACCTGTTGATATAGGCAACTCTTTTTAAGATAGCAAGAGGCATAATGGTAACCATTGTTGATCACCTGCTATTCTGTTTTTGCATCATGTGCTATGTCCATCCTTCTGTTCTGACTTGGTTTTTCCTTGTCGCATTTGGTTTTTTTTTTTCCCCCTCTTAAAAAAAAGTTATAAGAACTGTGGGAGTAATAAAACCCAAAAAGTGTAATTGTTATTGTAAAAAAGAGAGGAAAAGAAAGTGCATGTATATTTAAGTGTGTAGGATAGAAAACCATATTACTGCGTTTTTGTTGGATCATTGAACAGAACTGTCTGCAATCTCACTGTATGAATGTCCACTTTGTATGCTTTAATTTTGTAATTTGGACAACTGTTTCTAAGATGACAATATGTAATCTATTAACTAGTGATTTCTTACTGTATATTTTTTTCTTGAAATTCTGTATTACTTGTACCCTTTTACTGCTTTGTATTTATTTTTTGTTTTTTTCTCTTTAAATAAAAAAGGAATAATAAATAAATAAAAATTAAAATTAAAATTAAAAAAAAAAACTCTGAGGTTATAGATAATATAGGCAGATAATGGAGTAGGGAGACCTTGGATTCATAGTAGGATTAGGATGGAGAATAAAAGGAAGTTTCATGTATCAGCCTGGGGTTTATCTTTAAACCAATTTGCTCTCTTGTGAAGAAGGGGCTAAAATCTCATTTCTTGCAGCCAAGAAAAACAATAAGTGTTGATTGGGTGAATGAATGAATGGCCCTTAAGAGTTCCATAGCATTCACAGGGTCATTTTATTTCTAACAAATGTTTACCTAGAAGCCTCAATGTAACCTTGCTTGCTTCTCTAACATTTGAATTCAAAGAAAGAACACTTTTCCAACTGTCCTGGAGAAAGTGATTACACGGCCTGAAGCCTAAAGTGATTTGCAAAGATCTTTAAGAGGACAAGAGTCCAGCACTGTGAGAGGCTAAGACAAGAGGATAGCCAGTTAGAACTCAGCCTAGCTTCTTACAAATAGTTGTCCCTAACTTCACCCACTTTATATACTTATTGCATGTAAGGTAGATCTCCAGTGGACTTGCTTTGAAATCTGTATTTCTTTAAATTGTTTTTTATTTTTTATTTTTTTTTAAATGTTCTGTTCTGTTTTGATATGGTTAACCTTACCCTCTTAGAGATGTAAAACAAATAGGTAGGACTGATAATCATATTACGGAGCTTTTGTTCGACCATAGAGCAGAATGGTTTGTAGGGTCACTTTTTTGAATGTCATTCTAAATACTTTAATTCTATAACCTGAACAGCCATTTCGAAGATGACAATTTGTAACTTATCAACTGGCAATTTCTTACCTTTTGTTTGTCTGTAATTTAGTATTATTTCTACCCTTTTTTTTTATCTCCATGTATTTTTTTTTCTTTTTTCGTTTCCTTTTCTTTAAATAAAAAAAAAAAAAAAAAAAAAAAAAAAAAAAAAAAAAAAAAAACCTCAGCCTAGGCAACTCAGCAAGACTCATTTCAACATAAGAATAATAAAAAGCAACTCAGGCAGTAGCTCAGTGAAAGGTCCTGAGGTCAATCTCTAGTACTGAGAAAGAAAGAATAAAATAAAATAAAGCAAACCTAGCATGGTGGTGCACTCCTACAATCCCAACACTCAGAGGGATGAAGCAGGAAGATTGCTGTGAGTTCAAGGCTGGCCTAGGTTACAAAGAAAGTTCAAAGCCAGTCTGAGGTGCATAGTGTAATCCTGTCTCAAAGAAACAAAAAAGAAAAGATAATGAAAAGTCTGTTAACCTATTGCATATCTTTAAAATGTGTGTAGGGAGCTTTATAAGTTCTATAAAAATTAGGAAATATTTTTGATTTTTTATATAACCTCCATCAATGCCCAAGTCCCCTAATTTTCTCCTTTTATTAAACATCTAGTAAAATAAATGGCTGAATGATTTCTAGTACCTTGATGTTACTATGTGTTCTATTTTTGAGTGTATGTCTTTTTCTAAAAGACATCTTGAGTGGAAAAGGAAAATTTTTACCCATAAATAGGCAACTGTTGTTTGATTTAAGACACCACTTGTCCTCTAAATGATCATCCGCTTTATAACATGATGATACATTTTTTTAAAAGACTATTGTACACTCATTTTGCTTTTCATTGTTCGTTTAAAGATTTATCTAATTTACAGGCATGAACAAAAGAGGAGAGCCAAGATTCAGAAGCTGAAATATTTTATTAAGATATTTTACAACAACAAAGAGGTTTCTTGCACTTCAGTATCTTCCCTACAGTTTGATTTTAAAGTCATGTTTCAGCAAATTTTCAATATTCAGTTAATATATTGGCCAGAAACAATTTGCTTGGAGGTATGCCACTGTTATTTGCTTTCGTATTTTATGCCATACATATTTTTTTCTTGTTACATATTATTCTATATGATGTTATTTCTTTTATATTAAGCAATCATAGTTTTCTTTGCCTATTAATGTATTTATAATAAACAAATGTATAATCTACCTTTTATGGTCGTTTATGTCATAATTACATTATGTGATTTGTGATTGCTTTGAATAAGTCTCTCCTGTTAAAATTCCTGCTGACCTTGGCTATGTAGCAATATTTTTCACTTACAAGTGAGTTGGAAGACAGTTGTTTAAAGTAGAATATGTTGCATACCTTTTGTGACCATTGGATGTTTTCTACACATTTCCATAGCGACTTGGTGGATTCAGTCTGTTCCTGTGTTTCTTTGTCATTGATAGTTTGGATCCCTTTAAGAACCAAACAAACAAACAAAAAAAAAAAACACAGGATACACCCCTGAAAGTACAAAACTTTCTCTATTAAATGAAGAAGAAAAATAGGATAATGGAGAAAATTAGGAACAGTTAAAGAGATTAATCAAGAAGTCCTGGTGCTAAGGTATTATGCTTTAAACTAGGCCTACAAGTAAAGTTAGTAGGGAAAAAAAGATTTATGTATGTGAAGGGATTATATTTCTAAGGTCATATGATTATATGCTTTTCCCTTAAATATGTGAATGAAATGTTATATTTTTATTTTAGTATTTTTAAAAAATGAACACAAGTATTTTATTGAAGGTCCTTATGTTTTTATTTTTCTATTGTGTAATTTTCAGTATATTGTATATGTTTATTTCTTTTATATTTAGCTTTATGAAATAAGTAAAAGGACAAGTTTACTGGCAAAATTATATTTACCTTTACCTAACAACACAGAGTTGAGAGGCAGAACTGTTTTGGAATATGTAGAGTTTAGCTCTGAGAAGCTGGTCAGCCCTGCGGATGGAGAAGTAGGAAGCAGTGAGTTTATACCAAATACCCCTTCCCAACTTTCTACAGAAAACCCTGAGTTCTTTGCAAGAGGAATTAATCCTGTGTTTATATTTGGCTTAAAATGAATTGAACTAGATTGTGTAAAACTTTTCCTTGAATCAGATCTTTGGGAAGTTTAAAATTTGCAGTTAGCACTTCAGGTTTCTTTGGGCTATGAGAAGTTAATGCTTTTCCTACGCCATGAGGCAAAAAGATGCTCTCCAAGCAGTAGCTCTGCTTCTGTGGAAAGAATTACTCTAGCCTTGCCTGTAACCTTCGAGAAAGCTAATGGTGTTCCATGACGTGTGAATTAGTCTTCAAACTGTGTAGGGAAGGGAAAAAGAAAAGGAGAGAAGAAAAGAAGTAGGGGGCTAAGAAAGGGACAGAGAAAAGAAGAAATGTTTCTGTTTGTTTCCAATGATTTTATTCTTATGTAATTAAAGTTAGGACATCCCTGAGATAACTGTCTTCTCTCTCTTTTCCCAAGATTCCTTTAGTAAAGCTTCGCAGAAGTTTTGCAAACTTGTGCCCATCTAGTGAAAAGGAAGAAAGCAAGAATAAGTGAATAAAAAAGAGAGGGGAAAAAGTAGATAAAAGAAATCAAAAGGACAGGGAATGAGAGAAAAACACCACTTGCATAGGATCCATATAAAGCAGAGCAGCACATGGAGACCCAGGAGAAAAAACTTTGCGCTCAAGAACTCTAAGAAACCTGGGAACTCAGAAAAAGTTTTAAATAGTATTGTTCAACTCTCTAGAGGCTGAGATTAAAAATGAAGATAGGCAGAAGACTAAAATATATGGAAAAATGCTTTTCTGCTGCCAATGGTCTTTTTTTTTTTTTTTTTTCCTTTTGGAAGCCATTCCCAGAAAGAATGGTTAAGAAAGGTCCAGGCATCAGAAAAGAAAAGTAGAGATGTTTATCTCTGTGCAGTCTGCCCAATATATTTCGTCTCTTTTGTAGTTTGAGTGAAGCAGTCTTCCTTGAGGTATCTTAGAGAAGAAATGAGAAAGAGTGCTTGGAATAGAACTGGGGTCAACACAGAACTAATTTTGTGTTCCTGGGGTACCATAAGTGGAAGTAAGGGGAACAATTTACCACATGCTTCAACTGTACACTTTTTAAACAAATCGTGTTTTTAATTCCTTTTATAAACAGATGTGCCTTTTCTTCTTGAGGGAAATGGAACTGAAGAGCTTTGTCTTTTAACATCAGGAAAACTCAGCTATTCTCTATCATGGGCCTTAGATGAAAATGGCATTCCTCTGGCACCTCTACCACAGTCATTAAGATCTGAAAATTATAGGTAACAAAGTTTTATGTTTGAAAAATAATGTGATCGCAGCCAGGCATCACATAAAGCATACATTTCTACACAAAACATACATGTGTAGAACATGCTAGAACATGTAGAAAAACGTGATCTCAGCCAGGCACCACACAAAACACACATGCACAGAAAACAATTTAATTTATTTGGATATTGACTTGCTTTTTACATAAATCATTGTACTAAGACATAGATGTATTTGTATGTAAGAGGGTTTAGGATTATAGCCACATGGATAATGAGAGAGGCATTTCCAGAATCCTTAATTTATAAGCAAAGGCTACAACTCCCAAAGATTTTATTTCTAGTGTGTTTCAGTTTCCCTGTCATTCTGGATAACCAAAGAATGATTTATATATTATCTTTTTTTAGAAAGGAAAAATCTTAGGAATTTTATGTCTCAGGAATTCACATACCTTTTAACGCTACCTCAAACTCATCTGCAAAGTGAAAATCTTTAACACTTTGGATTTTGAGCCAAGAGACCGCTTTGCTCACTTAGTATTTGGTTGTGGAAAGAGGGTGTGCAGATCACTGTGGATTTTGTCACAGTCATCAACTAAACACCTATAACAGCAACCGGGGGAGTCAGTCTAACAAGACTTTGAGGTTTTTATTACTTTACCAGAGACAAAAATCAAGGGGCTTTGTTGAAATCCAATTATAACTTTCTTTTAAAAAAGAAAAGAGGATAAATTTCTCTCCATAATCAATTCATTAACATTTAAGCCTTGCTTTGATGGCTCTGCTTCCTAGGGTATCTATGCTAAAACCATTCTTAGGAAAAGGAAAATACGTTTCATGATGTGTCAAGGGTATGGGGCGCTAGAAATCTCTTATAACAAAGATATCGAAACAGTTCAACCATGAGAGCAGAATAGGAACTAAAAGACTGTTCATACTTCATCTATTTGTAATTTTGTTTACATTCTAGCATTCCAGGTTTTGACTTTATCAGCAATAGCTTGAGAAGACTCAACAGAAATACATGAACAGGGATTAATAAAAAGGAGACAGTATAAAATATGTCTCCGTGGGGGTTGGGGATTTAGCTCAGCGGCATAAGTACCTGCCTTGCAAGCAGGCGGTCGTGAGTTCGATTCCCGGTACCAATAAGAATGAAAAAGACAAAAAAAAAAAAAAAATGTCTCCGTGTCTGGGCTAAAACATTATTGACTGTGTCAAAAAGATATTTCTGGAATCTTTATTTATAGACATAAACTTTTCTCAAGCCACATTAGAGAAGAATTTTAGAAATCGAGTCTAAATTCTTATTTCACATGATAGAAGAGATTTTTTTGTGAAAATAGTAAACAGGATAATTGATGGCTCTCAAGAAATCTTTGTTCTTTAGTGTTGAATTCCTTCTGCTCTTAGGCTATAGTTAGAATACTGAGAATATTATTACTAATCTTAACCTATCTTTTATAACCATAATGTTTGAATGATCTCATATAACCACATACATATCTGCCCAATACTGCCCACTTAATTGCATTACTCTCTATAATATTTCAACTGTAAAGACACAATCTAAAGTTTATGCATTGTGTATTATTTACTTAATTTCACTTAAGAAAATATTTGGATTAAAATTTCATATTGTATATCTTGTAAGAAAAAAGTGCTAAGTTACTATGCTTTGTGTTTACAGAATACATTCAATAATCACTATGTAATTATTGGCTATAATTTAGCTATCCATAAAGCAGACATAGTAAAGATAAATATTTATAGACTTTAAACCCTTATGAAACTTTTAGTCTCTTAAGGGAGGGTGGATATTTATCAAAAAGCTATAACAGAGTTAGAATGAGAAGAACTAGAAAATGTATCTTTTATGTTGTATTTTCTTTGTTTTTTCCCCTTTTTCATTACTATATGTTGCAATGCATAATAAATACATTCATCATGGGGAATTGGTATATATTCATTGCATTATGAATAACATATAGATTTTATCTGTAAATACTTCAACTGGATAGGCTGTAGGCTATATAAGATGTCTAATCCACATATTGCTTGCAAATCACAAAATATTTTCTCTATGTTAGTTTGTTAAGGAATGTAGAGGTCAGAGGTATTCCTGGAATTCCATGGTTTATTAATGCACAGAAGCTTTTTCAATGGGCAGATGAAATCAGAATTGATCCAAATAATCCAGAATATTCTGATATAATGGAATTTATTATGGTAAGTTATAGCAAATATCAGTACATAAATATATTCTGTTTCCTAGTCTATCTCTCTGTACTCCCCCATAGTCATCTATGTTTTTTTCAAGCACTAAAGATATGTAAAGATAAATTACAGGACAGATGCAGTTTTCAGCTTACAATATTATAAAGGCAATTAGATATTCAGCAACTGAAATAATTCCTACTTCAGGTGTGATGGACTCTGCGTAGTGCACAGCACATTCAGCAAGTTCATCTGGCCAGCATCAGTTGTACATTTGTCAGGTGCCAGTAGGTACTGCAGATATCAGAATGATCTACTGAATGTCTTATAAATGAACTTTTCCCCTCAGGATCTGTTATCTGCCCACCTGCTATTCTTCCTTATAGCCAAATGAACTGTTGTTCTATGTATTCCATATATGCTGTCTTCATACCTTTATCCATACCATTGCTCTACCTAGGACACCCATTGTGGCACTCTAATCCACTTTGCAAGTCTGATCAATGTTTGCAGTTAGGCATGCACTCCTCTTTCCTGGCCTTCTTCTCAAATTCCTCTTTTTCTTTCTTTCTTCTTCTCTCCCTTCTTTCCTTCTTTCTTTCTTTCTTTTCTTTCTTTCCTTTCTTCCTTTCTTTTCTTTCTTCTTTCTTTTAAATAATCTCTTATGATGTTACTCACTTTCTGCCTGTTAATGTAACCATTCATGTGTCTTATCTTTCTGTATAGTACTACAGCTAATAATATTTGTCTCTCTGATGGCAGCTAGCAATATTCCTTGCATTTACCATTCACTTAATTTGTGGTACTTAAATAAAGGAAACTCATAGTTTAGATAGGTAAAATTAAGCTTCCTTGGCCAGAGCTTCCCAACTGATAGGCAAATTGGTTACAGATATACAGAAATATTGATTCTTTCTCAGCTTTTAGGGCGACTAGATAATAATAATCTCATCTTTTAATTGTTAGAATAATTTTCATTTCCTGTGTAAGTCATGACTGAGCAGAGATTGGAAAGCATTGCAAGTAGAATTCTGTGTTTATTTTTCCTGCTTGAATCTCCATTATATTCTTCCTCTTCTTGATGTGATAGATTTACTTGTTAATATTTAATTTGCATAGATAAATAATCCCCCATGTATCAGCTACTGACATCTTTCAAATGGCCAAGTTCATCTCTGCTGGAGGATAAATTTCCAGCCTTCAAAAAGTTCTCATTAGCCGGGCGTGGTGGCTTACGCTTGTAATCCCAGCACTCAGGAGGCTGATATGGGAAGATCGTTGAGCGTTCAAGACCAGCCTGGGCTACAAAGTCAGCTCAGTGACAGCCTGAACTGTATAGCAAGACCCCATCTCAAAAAAAAAAAAAAAAAAAAAAAGTTCTCATTCTTCTTAAGGATTCTGTATTTTTGCAGGTCCTATTCCTCTACAGATCCAGTTGCACCATACTTGCTTGTATTGTGAATCTTACATCTCATGGTGGTGGGTTTTTTTTTTTTTAAATAACTCTTGTTTTAAAAAAAATATTTCAAGATTTTACATTTTCGTCTTTACAGTATATGAAACATAAAGGGCAGGATGTCCCACAGTATTTCCGTCTTGAACAACTGCAAGATGAATTTAACTTTGTTTCTGAAGAAGAAATGAAAAAGAGCAAACGTTTTCAGCTTCTGCAACTTAGAAATGCAGGTCAATTAAATATTTTTCTCTTGCAGCAAGTGCCCCTCTATGATAGAGAGATTCCAGATTTAGTCTTTCAGGTATTGATTTCTATTTGGATATGGTTGCTTGTATAATAAAGTTAATATTTTTGTGCTTTAAATCTATCCTAGTTTTTTATTATTTTTAATTAATATCTGCAGGCAGATCACCATAACCCCATTATGCCCTTCTTTTTAGGCATTAAGAAGGAATAGATACCCCATATTTCAAAAAATCCTTAGGTTGGCTTCACAACTTAGTACTAGCCAAACAATGTATTTAACAACCAAAATCCTTTAAAGCATATTTCAATGCTTTAAATTTATTTCATTGCTGTATTTTTGTTATTATATTACATTTTTGTTATTTTATTAAATTAATGGTAGCTCTTGGAGCTAAAGGAAGAAATTATCATAATTAATTTACACAGTGATTATAGGGCATATCTCTATTTCAGAATTTTTTAAATATTCAAAAAAGAAAGAAAAGTATGTCTTACTTAGTGGTGTGCTGTAGCTGGCTGTCATCACCCCGTGAGAGACTATTGTACATATCTCATCCCAACTCTACTTTTAGTGATTTCATTTGCTGCTGGGGGAGTATTTATGCGAAAAATCACTAAATGCTACAAATTGGAGATTTCCCTCCCACTTCAAAAGAACCCAGTGTTAAATACCAGCATGCCACCAGTTTTACAACAGAGGAATTATAAGAAATGGTTCTTGTAGAAATAACTAATTGAAGTAATTATAGTACTTGAACTTGCTATGGGTTAGTTCAAGAATAAAGGAGTTATTTTTCCATCTCTGAAGCCAATGCCTATGCAGTAAAATTACGATTGGAGAGTGAGATCAGCCAACTTAGATTAAGATGAAATAGTCTGATCTTCACTCAGCCGCTTATAGGACACGCACTATACGGGTTCATTATCTGTAAGACTCAAATTGCAGAGGGAGCATGCTCGTGGTCTGAGTCAAGTGAGATAATGACATTCTTTAGGTATGGCTCAGAAGTGAAAAGAAAAGTGCAAAATGACTTTTCTCCCATTTAGTACTAACCAGGTCTGACCCTGCTTAGCTTCTAAGATCAGGCAAGATCGGACATGTTGATGCAAAATGACTTTTTGTCATCTCATTTTTCAATCACAGATTTTTTTCTTAACCATTATTCTGTTTTAAAAATGAATAGAGTTTATTTCAGAAGCAAATAGACTATAATGATAATTTTTATTTAGTTCTCAGTGGGAGAGTCAGACAAAATGTTTTCTTCTGCCAATACCAGCGTAGTGCCATTGTCATCCCTACATGTGAACTGAAATAAGTAACGATTTTTTATATCAGTATACCTTACATGAACAATTTGTTACGTTCAAATGAAACTAACTAAATTCTCTGTTTAGGAGTATGAAAGTCAGGTAGAAATGGCTATGTCTATGTCAGATGTAAATTCTATTATTACACAAAGGATTAATGCCATCAATTTTCTGAAAAAGGTAACAGAAGCAATGACACTGAATGATCACGTTGTTTGCCATTATTTTTATGAAAACTGATATGCTAGGCACATAGCAATAGTCCATTCCCAGACAATTAGGTGGACAAATCTACTTATTCATCACCTTTCTAAAGCACTGAGTTTTCTGTTCTCTTAAGACTTCCCTTTCAGATGTAGGTTACATTATTGACAGTGAACTCTTAAGTTATTAAAAGTACATTCTGACTTCTGTTTAAATGTGTTACATACCACCCAAAGTTCACTTTAAGCCCTCCTTTAGCACTGGCAGATGTTTTTCTCTATCCTTGCTCCTCTTCACCAGTTATTGACATAAAAGAAAAAAAGTTGGAACATACTTTAATAATGATTTTATTATCTTGAAAAATACATGTTCTCGCTCATAAGAAAAAAGAATTCATATCACCTGTATATTTTCTCTTTTTTATGTATGGGGAAACCCAGGAGGGAGGAGAGTAGAGAATCAGTAAGAGGGCAAGAGAAGAAGGGATGCTGAAGGTGTTTAAAATTTATTTAGAAATCCAGAGAAGAAACTTTTAAAAAATCATGTTTCAACTCCTATAAACACTTACTTACTATCTTAGAATAGTTTATTTTTATTTGGTTTGTGTGTGTGTGTGTGTGTGTGTGTGTGTGTGTGTGTGTGTGTGATACTAGGGACCGAACTGAGGACCTTATGCATACAAGACAAGAACTCTACCGCTGAACCACATCCCTGGCCCCAGGATAGCTTAATATTATGACATTCTGAGTTATATTCTAGAGGGAGAAGTCAGACAATGAGCAACCATTACTAGTGTGTCAGATGAGACTGGCTATAAAAATAAAGCAGAAAGTAAAGAGTCCTGTAGTGGAAGGATGCAATGTGATACAAGTTGTGCAAGGAAGTTCATGAAAAGGTAATGCTTCAAAAAGGAACTACCACTTACTTAGACTTAAAGGAAGTAAGGGAACTGGTCATGGAGTTTTGCAGGGAGAAAAAATACTCTAGGATTAATGAGACCACATGTAAAAACTGAAGAAAGCGCTCCTAGCATGAGGGATTCCAGCAAACATTCCACTCTGAAGGATGCTGAGGGAGAGAGAAAAAGAGTGAATAGTCTTGGGGCCAGAGGAGCCTGATTCACCTTCCAGGGGAACAATTCGTTGCCCATCTGGAAGGATAATTTTCAGGAATTAGATATGTTTTTCTCATTCTTCTCACAATTCCATTTTCCTGTCACTTTCAAGCAGGCTGTTAGGCTCTAGGTTGTATTATCTCCGGAATGATCTGCAGCAAGAAAGATCAGAAAGCAAAGAATAGCTACCTGGTACCTTTGTTTTCTAGTTTTAGGCCTGAAAGACTAAACCTGTTATAAAGAACAGAGCTAAAGGAGAAAAGGAGGAATTTTCTCAGAGTGAAAAGAATATTTTCACAGAAAGAATCAAGGTCTACTGCAAAGGCTTTGGGAAATGTCTTTGCTTAAGTACTAACTTTTGGGCCAAACTCGTAGAATGAGGGTTTAAAGTCAGCATGGGAGTGACTCAAAGGAAATACAAACATGTGGTTAGATTTCTTTGAGTTTGTAGGTCAAGATTTATGTCAATTAGGTAGTGGCTTCTACAGAAATTAGTTCAAAAAGGCATCCATCCCCTTCAACAAAGAGAGCTGGTGGCCATGTATACAGAGTTAGAACACATGTAAGCAAAGAAATTAGGATGAAACCAAATGGACCTAGAAAGAAAAAAGTGGGAAGAACGAACTAGCTTTGGTGTGGTTGTGTGAGTTCTGAATGATTTCATGGTAGAAACAGAATCATATTTCACTCGTTTAAGAACACTTTCCATTTACTGCCTGCAAAAACTAGAAGCGTGGTTTAGTATTTAATGTTAAATATAAACAATGTCTTTTAGTGTTTAATTCTGGGTATTTTTTTAGGAGAGAAGATCAGTAATGAAAAGAGTCATCAAAGTTAACAAATTTAACTTGGCAGATATTGTGGCTGATTATGAAGAAATTGTATCTTCAAGGTACTATTAAAATTTGAGTGAGAAATATAAAGGTTTAAACCTTGCTTGAATACTCTAACTTCTCTATTTTTATATTAAATTACCTGCCAAAAGATGCAGTTTCAGAAAATAAAATAAAAATACTTAAAATATATTTGATCATTTTTAATTTGCATTTTAGAATATATACATGGTGTGTTTTTATTTTTTATTTATTTATGTATTTATTTTGATACCAGGAATCGAACTTGTGCTTGCCAGACAAGCACTGTGCCACTGAGCTGTATCACCACAGCCCTAATATGTTTTTAATATTATATTTTAGCAAAGTTTTTCACCTCTTTATTGGTAAGAAGTTTTTATTAAAAAAGAAAAGAAACAAACAAAAAAATACCTTTGGCCTAAATTGTCTTGCCCTAAGGTTTTCTTATTGCAGGACTGCTACTGGACAAGCTGTTGCTTTAGTTGTAAGCCTATGGTCTCCCCTTGCAAATCTGAGAATCCTGAGTTGTGCCAGGGCACTGAGGTCTACAATGAGTAACTGAGGGAACCTTCACTGAAGTAACTCAATATATATGCTGTCTATTTGTGAAACTTCAGACTAAGAACAGGAGTATGTCTGCCACGTCTCTAGGAAACCTCTCTGGAGGCCACATGTAAATGCTTGATATTTGTGTGTGTGAAATTAGAGGTTTTAACTGGTGTAGAATGCTGAAATCTCTTGGGTTTATTTTCAGTCTTGGTAGAAAATAGGTGCGACTATATAATTCTATGGATTTTTGTTACCATGGTTCACAGTATATATAAACTAACTCTGGTTTCAGAGCCATGGAGACCAAATATTCAGTCACTTACAGGAGAAAGATTCCTGAAAAGTGAATAACTTTCTGAAAGATCATCGTGTTTTGTGGCCTTACCTCTTTGTTCTTGTCTCATACTGGAGCATGTACCCAAAGAATGCAGAGCAACACGTTGCCTCTCAAGATGAGAAAATATAGCATTTCTTCCTTTCTGTGCTCAGAAAAAGTATTCCTTCCTGGGTTTAAAACAACTCTGTGCCCAGAATAATTAATATGGTTTGGAATAATGCCCTTATTTACAGTTAATCAGCTACAATATTTTATGTCTATAGGCTGATCATTTTTTCTTCTGTAGCCAGTTGACACATGCAATTTGTAAGTTTGTTGAACCACGCAGAAAGTTAAAACCTCGGAGGAAAGAAAGGAAAAGAGTTACAGCACAGACTATTTCTGATGGAGATATTAAAATTCTCATAAGAATATTGAGGGCCTATAATATTCCTACCAGGAAAACAGCAGTCAATAGGTAGGGAAATATACTTCAGTTTTTGAAATTGCAAAATATTCATCTTAAATGTGATAAATTTGTTGATCTCATTTGTAAAAATTTCCACTTTATTAATGCTTTACATACTTAAAAATAGTAAAAGTTAAAATAGTCATAACTGCTTTCAGTGCTATATATCGAGTTTTCAGAAGTTTGAGATTCCAAAATAATTTTAAGGTGTAGTGTTTGTCATATGTTCACCTTCTCATGCTTTGGTGAATAAATTCCTTTTGTCACTATTCACTTTGGTGAAAATACAAAGTTTCTACTGCCAATCACACTATTCCATGTCACTGGCCCTTACCATATTGGAAGTAGGAAGCTAGAAAAAGTAGGTGGGGCACCAGTTTTGTTTTAGCTAATGTCCTAGGAAAGCTGTGAGGCAAATGAATCGTTCATGAAATTAGAGTTACTACAGTTGCACCCTGTTACATTATGAACTTGCAGGTGACTTATATTATGGACTTGTATGATTTTATCTATCACTTTGGTCCACACTGATTGGGGCTTATTTCTTGAATTAAGGATGTGTGGGGCTCAAATGGACATCACCAATAGATAGCCAAATTAAAGCATTATGAATATTGTGTTTATATATATTCAGTGTTGAATTCAATTCTGAATATTTACTATCTTATATATTTAGTGTCATATATGATATATTATGAATATTTTGTGCCCCAATGCCTCAAGAATATTAGATAGCCTTCTCTACCCATGGTTAGTACACATGTATTCTTCTTACATATTTTATGCTCATTTCAACAAAAATTTTACCTTTTTAAAAAAGCAAACATTTTACCTATAGACTATATTAGTCTATATTTAAAATACTTTAAAGCTCCAGTGGTACAATTGGTTAGTGCATGGTACATATATAAAATACATGCTTTGCCTATGTTTTACAAACCATGAGTTTATCCATGAATAGAATTGAATATTCTCATAATATGTGAATATTTTGGCTGGGGATTTAGCTCAGTGGCATAAGCACCTGCCTTGCAAGCAGGCAGTCGTGAGTTCAATCTCTGGTACCAATAAAAACGAAAAAGACAAAAAAAAAAAAACTAAAAAAAATATGTGAATATTTCAAAGATTGTTTTGTGATACAAGAACATATAAAATCATTTTGTATAATTATTTGTAAAAGAATAGTGTAAAAAGCAAGCAGGACAGTCTTTAAAGTGTCGCTGGCTTTATTTGTTTCCTTTTGCTGAATAGTAGTGAAAATTTTCTCTGAGACTGGATCAAATCCATAGTTCAGCATTTACAAGTCACTCTTCCAGAATATTAACTATCAAATATTTAGTTCTAACCACTGATATAAGACATGACAAAAACTTAGATCCAGGATAACTGAATTATGTATTTCCAGAAACACAGGGAAAATAGTGACACATTTCTACCAAAACCAATACCAAAATTAATTAAATGTAGTCTTTATATTGTTTTTCCTGAAGAGTTGTGGATATGCCTGCTTATTTGAAATCATCTATGCCTTGCTTCAGACATAAAGAAACAACCACATCAATAGACTCAGATAGTATCTTAAATGAGGTAAGTATCTAAGATTTCTGCAAAGTACAATATTGACTATTTTGCTCTGAATTGCATATGTCTGCTAATTGGTCTCTCCATGTATATTTTCTTCAGCTTCCAGTTTACTTTCTACAACTTAGTGGAGGTCTTCATAAAATGTAACTCTACCCATTTCATTTTCTCCTGTCAGGATCTATACAAGCTCCTTAGAATGAATTTTGTTTGGGCTCTTGACTAACAATTAGCCTTATTTTTCTCCACCCCATAGCCATGTCATACTACTACGTGTTCCACAATATGTAAGTCATTTCCTTGCCATGAATGGTCTCCATACAGCTCCATACTATTGGACAAACCAAATTCTACTCAATATCTCAAAGCTCAAGCTCAAGAAGTAATTTCTCTGTGAGGCTCTTTTTATTCAGAAGCTCACTCATTCTTTCTCCTGTATTACACTTTAGTATATTTCACTTGGATTTTTTCCTTGTATTTCATTGTACTTATTTACCTGTTTATTTTCCCCTGGTAGATTTTTAAATCCTTATGAGTCAGTACTACTTACTCTTGCATTCTAGAAAAGTACCTGATACAGATAGATATTTATTAAATTAACAAAATAAATAATAAAGGTTTAGAAAACTAAAAATATTAAGCCATCCAGTTGCCAAGAAATTTCCAGCCTTCTACTGTTACCAACTATATAAAATGTTACAAAAACCTAGTCAATGCTTACGTTTTTCAGGATACTGTACACCCTTTCATAGAAGTTTCTTTTCAACATACTGTATATCATACTAATACAGAAAGTGGATCTCATCCATGCTGGAATGAAGAAATTAAAGTAGATTTTATGTAAGTTGGAATCTATATTTCCACATTTCCTTAAAAATTTATTTTCCTGAGCCATTTATTGAAAATCATGCCCGGAATAGGCTTTATTTTTAAGCTTTAAAATCATGAAATATTATATTCATAATAAGTTATTATATATGTAATATATACGTGTAAATTTTGAAGGCAAATAATGAGATGAATACCTGTGTATCTAATATCCAGCTTAAAAAGAGTATTACCAACACTTCTGAAGATTCTCTGTATGATTACCTAACTGTTCAGCTTTTCTTTCCTCCCAGTGGTGTCAGTCATGAATCTGTATTTATCATTCTCTCTTCCTTTACAGTTTTGCTTCATAGTTATTTGTTCCCATTATATAGCTAATCATGCTTTTGACTTTATACAAATTGAGTCATATTTATGTATTTTTCTCCAGTTTTATTCATTACACTTATTTTGAGAGATTCATCCATGTTCATAATTATACTTTATCTTTTTGCTCTTGTCTAAATGTATCTCCTAAAATCCAGTGAGCTCAAATAAATTACCTGAGATGTACCTCAAGAAACTAGAAGAAGTACAATCCAAAGCCCAAATCTAGTATTTAGAGCCCATTGCAGTCCAGCAGAGCAGCTCAGTGTGCCCAGCAGAGGAGCCTAGCAAAGCAGTCCAGTGGCATGACACAGTTTTCTCAGGGGCCCCACAGAGCCAGCTGTTGGTGAGTGAGGCAAACTGGTGCTGTGTTTCAGTACACAGACATGCAGAGCATAAGAGAGCAGGTGGAGCTGCCATAACTCAGTGGATTTGGGGTGAACCTCAGCAGCAGAACAATCCCAGGTTGCTACACTGCCAAGTCCCAAAGTGGGAGGAGGGAAGAGACATCCAGTCACAGTGGACTGCCAGCAGCTGAGAAACAAACCAGGAGGAATTCTATTGCAGCGCTGGAGCTGGGACCACACAGACTCCACTCATGTGGCTGCCTTGGCCTAGTGGCACAAGCAGGCAACAGCCTTGGTCTATGGTGAGACAAGAGTACTGCTACTCAGTGACCAGCAGTGAAGAGGAGCTAGTGGTGTGGAACAGAGAAACTGGGCAAGGTCTGGAAGAAGTCAACTGTACATGGCAGCAACCTTAGGCTCTCCCTATCCTACGACACCACATCAACTGACAGACTGCGAGAAAGATAAACACAATAAGCAGAGATGAGGCTGAGGATTTAGCGGGATAAGCACTTGCCTTGCAAGCACTCAGTCATGAACTTGATCCCTGGTACCTGAAAAGAGAAGAGAGAGAGAGAGAGAGAGAGAGAGAGAGAGAGAGAGAGAGAGAGAGAGAGAGAGACATTGAAAATATTGTCAGCAAATAAAAATAAAAGTTAAAAAAAAAGAAAACATTGTCAACCAAAGATTGGTCCCAGTTCTCACATTCAAAGGCTAAAATCACCCCATATCAAGCAAAATTTCTGCTGCAAACTTGGCAGGGTTACTCAGCATGCCTCTAGACACTAAAGAACTGTGAACACAAGAGGAATTTTATTATTTTTATTTCTTTTAATTTTTTTATCTTTCTTTTTCTTTAAGTGGTTTTCCATTTTCAGTTTGGTTGGGGTGTTCTTGTTGTTTTTTGTTTTTTGACCATTAAGATTTGTTATCTTCCAAAAAAACTTTTTTATTTTAAAGAGAATAAAACAAAACAAAATTCAGAACAGAACAAAGTAAATCAGAACAGACCCATGCAGGCAACACAGAACTTCATAACAAGACAACAGGATATCAACAATGGCTACCATGATGTCTCTTGTTTCCTTTGAAATAGTTGACCATACCTTCACACACAATAATATCAAACATAAAAAAATATATAAAACCAATCAAAAGAATACAAGCATTACAGGACTTCAAAACCAGAAAACAGGAAATGAACAATGGTTACTATAAAATCTCATTTTCTTCAAAAAAGTTGTCATACCATCACACATAATGAAATTAATTAAAGCACAACAGAATACAGCCAATCAAAAGAATAAATGCATGATAGGACTTCAAAAGATGGTAAGGGCTGGGGATTTAGCTCAGCGGCATAAGCGCCTGCCTTGCAACCAGGCAGTCATGAGTTCAATCCCTGGTACCGATAAAAAGGAAAAAGACAAAAAAAAAAAATTTAAAAAAAAAAGATGATAGTAAATCAGCAATGGCTACCATAATATCTCGTTTTCTTCAGAATAGCTGTTCATACCATCACACATAATAAAGTCAAACAAAAAAACCCAAAACAATAAAACCAATTAAACAAATGAATGAAAGCATTATAAGACTTCAAAACAATATAATAGGAAACTAGCCATGATTACCATATACATCCCATTATGTTCAAAATAGCTGCCCATACCATCAGACAAAATAAAATCTAAAAAAACAAGGCAAAACAAAACCAAAGCTAACAAAATTGAGAAAACAATACAAGAGTTCCAGATAAGACAATAAAAAATGAACAATAGTTACTACCTTTCCTTTCCAGGTTTTTCCTCCCTTATCACTTTTACAATAACTATTTTGCTTTTTGGATCCCATTAATACCTTCTGTTTTTTATTCTAGGGTTCACTTGTATGAATTCAAACTGTTTTGACCATGAACATGATCTCCAGTTTCATCCGTTTACCCACAAGAGCTTTGAGATTATTCTACTTTATAGCTGGGTAGCTTTCCATTGTATGAAAATAACATATCTTTCTTATCCATTCTGCAGTTGATGGGCAAGTTATACTTGCTTTTTTTTCTGGTTTCCTGTCATATGGAACAATCGTTCTCTACCCTTTGATTTTCAGTCTATGCATTTCTTTTCTAGCTTTGTTTCCTGTATACACTATATTGGTGGATCTTGTTTCTTGATCCACTTTCCCTGTATTTCTTTTCATTACTTAATTAAGGCCATCTACATGAATGGTTACAACCAGCATACCTTGATTTGTCTCTGCATGCTATCCTCCTGTGGTTTGCCCTCCACTTTTCCCATTCATTCAATTGCCTTATTTGGCAGTCCTCTCCTCTGTTGTTCCTGAAACCATGGTTATCTTTATCTCTCTCTACAATATCCTTTAGAACTCTCTGTAGGGTTGGTTTGGCAGTTATGAATTCCTTGTCCTTTGTCATGGAATATATTATTTCTCCATTAATTGTAAAAGACAGTTTTGCAGGATACATCAGTCTGGGTTGGAAGTTGTTTTCTTTCAGGATTTCAAACACTCCACTCCAAACTCTTCTTAACTTGATGGTTTGTGTTGATGAATCTGCCATGATTCTTACTGGCTTTCCTTTACAAGTGATCTGTTTCTTTTCTCTAACAGCTTTTAATATTCTTTTCTTGTGCTGAATTTCTGGGATCTTGATTATTGTATGTCTGGGTATAGATTTACTTTGGTTATGGCTAGTTGGAGTTCTATATGCCTCACGTATGCCTCACTGTATGCCTCACTGTATGTCAGATCCTTTTCCCATGTTTCGAAAATTTTCTGCTACTACTTCTGTAAATAGCCTTTTAATTTCGTTTGTGTTGATTCTTGCTTCAATGATACCTATCACTCTTATATTATGCTTGTTTGCATCATCTTGCAGCTGTTGAATTGTTATTTCCTTGTTATTTTTAAGAGATTTTTCCTTTCATAATCATTAGCTGCAATGTTCAAGGTTTGAAAATCTACCTTCAGTCTCTTTCAAGCGGTTTTGCCAGCTTTCAATTGACTTTTTAATTTCCTGGGTCTCTCTTTGAATCTGTTTCATGCATTGTAATTCCTTTCTATATTGTTTGTTCAAGGTTTCCATCATTTTTCTATGCTCCTCTTTTTTATCTGTCTTTAGATAATGCTGAGCAATTTTTTCATTATGTTTGTGATTTCTTCTTTAATCTGAGACATTATTTCGGATTTGATTGCTTTTACAATCTCATGAAGTTGTTTCTTTACCTCAGTTGCTATCCTTCCAGAGAGATTTTAGATGTGTGACTTCCATTTTCTTCCATGACTGTATCTCCCAGACTTGTTCTGTGTGGGTTGGAGGTCTGAGATTGCCTTTTGTTCCATCATCTTGACATCCTCCCAACAAGCTAATTATGGGGCCCCAGGTTCTTCCCACTTTGGCTGCCCCTTCATGGTATAGGGAATGGGATAGGCACTTAGGGTTCTTTGATCCCAGATTTACAGGGAGGCAGCAGGCTTTTCCACACTTGTGCAGCTATACTGGGGCTTGCCCGATGACCAAGTGTGCATGAAGGTGGGACTGCTTCTCTCAGCCTGTGAACTCCTATGATGGTGGCACAACATGGAGGTGGCATGACACAGAGGTGTGTTTGCCTGATTCTCCCAGTGATGGCTGCCCAAAGGAACCAATGGCCTCCAATGGTAGCTTACAGGTGCATGGGGGTTACCTGGCTATGTGTCCCTGCTTCTGCTGGCTGCCCACAAGAAGGAGACTTCTGGTGGTGGCAGCCAGCAGGTGAAGGCAGATCTGCTGCATCTCCCCAAATATGGGGAATTTCCTTCTATCTTGTTTTTGAGGTCCAATATGGTTCTCACTGTTTTATTTTGTTCCAATAGTTTAGCTTTATTCTATGTTCTGTTTTGATTGGTTTTATTCTAATTTGCTTTGGTTTGATTTTGCTGTATGTGGTGGAATGAACAACTGTTGTGAAGATAACAAGATATACTGTGGTGGTCATTGTTGTTTTCCTATTATCCTGCTTTGAAGTTCTGTACTAATTTCACTGCTTTGTTTTTATTGGCTTTATTCTGTTTTGTTGGGTTTTATTATCTTTAAAATTAAAAAAAAAATCTTAGAAAATGACAAGATGCAGAAGCAAAATGCAACCCCAGACCTCCAGCCCACCCAGACAACTTCAGAGAACAATGAGAGAAAAAATCTGAAGATACCCTGGAACTTCCTGAAATGCTAGCCTCAGCAGTGAAAGAAAAAATGGAAGTAGTGATAAAAAAAATAGTCTCTCAAGTAAAAAGAGAAATGGTCAA